GTCAAATGAGAATGAAAACACATCATACCAAAACCTTTGGGACACAGCAAAGGCAGTCCTCAGAGGACAATTTATAGCAATAGATGCACACATCAAAAAAAAAAAAAAAGAAAGGAACAAAATCAAAACATTAGCTACACAACTTGAACAAATAGAAAGAGAACAGCAAAAAAAGCCCACAGCCACCAGAAAAGAGGAAATAATAAGGATCAGAGCAGAAGTAAATGAAATAGAGAACAGAAAAGCAATAGAAAGAATCAACAAAAACAAACCACTGGCCAAACCGACAAAAGAGAAACAGGAGAGGACACAAACAACCCAAATAGGAAATGAAGTGGGGGACATTACAACAGACCCAACTGATATAAAAAGATCATAACAGAGTATTATGAAAAACTATACTTCAACAAATTTGAAAACCTAGAGGCAATGGACAAATTTCTAGAAACACACTACCCACCCAAACTAACAGAAAATGAAGTTGAAAATCTGAACTGACTCATAATGAGAAGAGATTGAAAAGGAATTAAAAAACTCCCAACAAAAAAAAAGCCCTGGCCCAGATGGCTTCACTGGAGAATTTCACCAAACATTCAGAGAAGAGCTTACACCAGTACTACACAAACTATTTCAGAACCTAGAAAAGGAAGCAACACTTCTGAATTCATTCTGTGAAGCCAGCATAACTGTCATGGATTCAATTACGTCTCCCCAAAAATGTATTTATCAATTTTTCTGGGCCATGATTCCCAGAATTGATGCTTTAAAGTACTGTGTGGTTGTCCTCCATTTTGTGATTGTAATTTTATGTTAAAGAGGATTAGGGTGGGATTGTATAACACCCTTACTAAGGTTACATCCCTGAGCCAATGTAAAGGGAGTTTCCCTAGGGTGTGGCCTGCACCACCTTTTATCTTACAAGAGATAAAAGGAACGGGAAGCAAGCAGAGAGTTGGGGACCTCATACCACCAAGAAAGCAGTGCCGGGAGCAGAGTGCATCCTTTGGACCTGAGGTTCCTGCACAGAGAAGCTCCTAGTCCAGGGTAAGACTGACTATGAGGACCTTCCTTGTGAGCAGACAGAGAGAGAAAGCCTTCCCCTGGAGCTGGCGCCCTGAATTTGGACTTGAAGCCTACTAGACTGTGAGAAAATAAATTTCTCTTTGTTAAAGCCATCCACTTGTGGTATTTCTGTTAGAGCAGCACTAGATGACTAAGACAGATTCCATCAACATTTATTTTGTGTTGCCACCACATTTTTGCATAATGTTTTTTTGTTTGGTTTTTAGATCGACAAATCTGTTATGAGTAAAATGAACATGCACTATAGAAAAACACGCAATTTCTATCGGAACACTGTGGGTGATCTGCTAAAGTTCATCCGGAATCTAGGAGAGCATATTAATGAAGAAAAGAATAAAGAGTAAGTATTGTTTTCATTCCAGTAGTTCATGTGTGAAATGAGAATAATTTAAAAAATCCAATTCTAAATTTATATCCACTGTTTGATGGAAATTAGGGAGCTTCTTTTGATGAGAGAAGAGTAATAACTCCCTTCTGTTTGGAAAAGGACTATCATGAGGGCCTTACAATTAGTGATGGACATGCGGAATAGGCTATAATCTTCCTCTTCAGCTTTTGCTGCGCCCCCTTGAACAGCAGGTTAGTGACTTCCTTGTGTGTAGAAACACAAGGAAACTGGGAAGCTGAGTAAAGTGAACGTAGAATTATTAAAAGTCTAAAATAGCCTTGTGTTAGTAAAGTCAACTTTTACTACCAAAAACATTAGCTACTAATTTACACAAAAAAAAACCTTTTCAGTTTCCAGAGCTGTTTCCTTTTCCAGTGTTGTTTTGGAATCGTAGATAAAGGATTGTGAAATTGTATCATCTCCACTTTATGCATGATAAAACTGAGGTTCAGAAAGGTTTAGCTGCCAAAGTTTGCACTGTTAGTTGAAGTGTCAGGATCTGAATCTTGCTCTGTCAGATTCCAAAGTCCTTAATCATTCTGCTATAGAAATCAAGGGAGCAAGGAGATCCCCAGGGCCATATGCTGTGAGGGGGGAAGAAGGATTAGGAGCAAGCATGCCAAACCGTTTATGTTTCATTTCAGTATGAAGTTGAAAATTGGAGATCCTGCCTGGTATTTTCAGAAGACGTTTCCGGATCTGGTGGTCTATGTCTATACAAAACTACAGGACACAGAATACAATAAACATTTTCCCAAAACCCAGGATCCTCACAACCCTCAATGTCATGGAGGTGGCAATGTCAAGCAGGCTAGGGGCCCTGAGTGCTGACTGAGCCTTTCCCAGGTTCATGGACGAGGAACTTATCAGCTGTGTAATCCTTGGCAAGCCACAATTCTCTGGGCCTCTGCTATCTAGCCAGGTTGATGCTTGTGAGGCGTGGGATGGATAGCTCATTGTCAGTTCCTGGCATCTGGCATTCCACACATGTTCATAACAAAAACAGTTTATACCCAAACCACCCTAGTCAACTTCAGCGGAAAAGCTTAGGAGTGAGTGCCTAGGCCCTTTGTGTTGTAGGTTTTACATAAATTAACTCATGTAATTTTCCCAACTGCCCTGCAAGATAGGGTTTAGTATCCCCATTGAAGAACTGAGGAAACTGAGATTCAGAGAGTTTCAGCTACTTCACCAAGATCATACAACATTTACAGAGCACTGGATAAACGGTTGTGGTGCTATTGTTGTGGTGCACCTATGAACTAAAATACCAGTCCAGAGCTCTTCTGGATGATATCCAAAAGAAATTTGTCAAGGTGCTCTCTACAGAGCTCATTCATTCATTCATTCACTCAATATTTATTGAGCACCTAGTCCAATTATCTGAAACTAATTGTATGTATTTCATTCCTTCTAGAACCACTCACGCTGGTTTTCTATGACCTTCGGCAATAGTTTCAACTGGGGGCAATTTTGCCCCCCAGAGCCATTGACAATGTCTGGAGACATGTTTGGTTGTCACAGCTGGGGCAGGGATGCTACTGGAATCTTGTGAGTAGAGGCTGGGATGCTGTTAAACATTATATGATGCACACAACAGCTTCCTGTGACAACAAATTATCTGGCCCCAAATGTTAGTAGAATGGAGGTTGGAAAATTCTTCCTTAAGAGGCTGGGCAGCTTTTGAACTTGCAGGAGCCTAGCACCATAGAGTGTGTGGACCACTGCCAGAATGATTAGGGTTTGATTTGCTGTTGGATCTGTACTGAGACAGTTCCAGTGTTACCCCCTCAGAAGTCTTCCGGCCACCCTCACTGCCCAACCCCAGTCTGAGTGCTCCTCCTAGCTCCCTGGCACCCAGAGCCACAGCAAAGTCTGTATCTCTCCACCTTGTAGTTCTGTTGTCCCCACTGGCATCTAACCTCCTTAGGGCCAATGACTACCTTTTTTTTGAGTTTGTATCTTCACCACCTAGTAAAGTGTCTGTCACATGATAATGCTCAGTAATGTTCACTGAATAATGAATGAATCATCTTTGTACATAAATGATAACATGCCTTACATTTTTATGGTGTTCTGTATTTTATAAATTAGATCAGCGTATTTTATCTCTTTTGTTTTTGGAAGAATCCTGTAAGGTAACTGTTGTTATCTTCACTTTGCAGATGAGGAAACTAAGGTTAGAAACATGTTGAATTATTCTATGGTATATAGCTAGGAAGTGCCATTGTCTTGATTTGAACCAATTTTTTGGCGCAAAGTCTGATGTTCTTTCCACTTGTCCTCGTGGTGGTTGTGAAGATGGAGCTTTATAACAGAGAAGCTGGTAATACACTGTATCTTAGGTTCTTTCTGAAAAGGAGGTGGTCCATTAATGGATAAATGGGTGTCACTGAATGAAAACAAGAAGTTCTGGAGGAAACAAACTTCAAGCTTTTCTCAAAGATTTTATGAGCCACAAAATTGCTTTAGGCTTTAAAATTAAGTTTTGGTTTTTTGATTTGTACTGAGTACCTGGCTATGTAATCAAAATGCCCATTTGTGAAGTTTATTCAATAAAACTTTGAATCATCTTATTAAACTTGATTTTCTTTGAATGAAATTTCCACTTTACAGAGTAGTGATATCTTGGATAAGTTTTAAGAAAGGGCATCCTGCTCTTTAATAATGGGAAACAGAGCAGATTTTCAGCGTCACAGTTATTCTGGGACTATGTGGCCCTGGGTGTCCTTGCAAAGAGAGAAGGAAGGGACTGATGATTTTACCTTCTGCATTCACTCTCTAAGGGTCTTTTTTGACACAGGAAATCTTTCTCACTCAGTTATCATTACCACAAACATAGTTACACAGACAAGAGGGGAATAATCTTCAAGACTATACTATAATCTGAACACTAATGATACGTTAAGTTTTACTTACGTATTATTACTTCATTAAATAGATTTTGCTAGTTAAAAAAAAATTAATAAAAGTAATAAAGCAACCACCTGTGGAGACTCTACACTGTCCCAGTGCCTAATGCTTGTACATATGACATCTACCAATATCCATGACAATTCTGTAAGAGGCAACCGAAACTAGAAAGGCTTGGTAAACTGCCCAAGTTCATACAGGTGGTAAGTGGAGGAGCCAAGATGAAAACTCAGGTCTGCAAGTCAAAGGGTGTGCAGTCTTTCTGGAGTGCCACAGACGGCAGTTCAGGCAGGCTGGACTGGTCACCGTGTGCATGGGCATCAGGGTCTTCATCCATTCCTCTCCAGTGCAACCTAGAAGGTCAAGGTTACTGATGACCTTCATAGTGCCAAATCCAATGGTTACTTCTCCGTCTTAATCAACCTCACAGCAACATTTGGTTCAGCTGACTATTCTTTTGCTCTTGAAATACTGTCTTCTTTGGTTTCCTCAACAACACACTAACATGGTTTTCCTCCTCACTGGTTGCTCCTCCTCAGTATTTTTTGCTGGCTGCTTCTGTGCTGGAGCCCTGGTAGCACAGAGGTTAAGAGCTTGGCTGCTAACCAAAAGGTTAGCGGTTTAAATCCACCAGTTGCTTCTTGGAAACCCTATGGGGCAGTCTTACTCTGTCTTATAGGGTCACTATGAGTCGGAATTGACTCGACGGGGTTCGGTGATTTTTTTTTTTGTTTTTTTTTTTTTTTTGATGCTGTGCTCAACCTCGTAACACGGAGTGCTCACCAGTGGCCTGTCTAGGGTATTGCACTGGCCCCGGGCTCGTGGCGCCACTGAACGGTTTCTATTAACCCAGTATGGCTCTGCGTCCTTCCTAAAGCACGCTAATGTGTTAGTTAAAAGATGAAAGGAGCTTGACTTGTATTTTTGAGCTGATATTATGGTAAAGTTATCTAAAGGAGGGATGCCAGATGTTTGGACAAGGGCGCAATTTCAGTGCTTGCCATAGACGCCATTTTCCATAGATACGCCGCTGGCCAAACTGGGTTAATAGAAACTGGCTCAGTGGTGCCATGTGCCTAGGGCTGGTACAATACCTGCCATACCTGCAATACCCTAGTTAAGCTTCTGTTGTGCCCTAGACTTAATCCTCAAGCAATTCTCTTTTTTCTTTTTCTCCCTAGATAATCTCTTTGAATACCATGACTAATATCATCATAAATAGGCAGACAATATCCAGGTTTTGAAATTTAGCTTCTTCCTCTCAATGTTACCGTCAACCACCTATTTGCCTCTAAGCGAGCAGTCTTGTTTGGTTCTTTCTTTTTTTGCCACCTGCATCCAGTATGTTAACAAGTCCAGCTGATTTTACCACCAAAATAGATCCCAAATCTGTTTACAACCCTTCATCTCCACATCTTGGTTCAAGCCACCATCATTTCTCATTTGGTTTGAAATGAGAATATTATAATTGACTCTCCTGCTTCCATACTTGTCCCCTATAATACATTCTGTATAAAGTGATCTTTAAATAATGCAAATCAGATTAGGTCACTTCCCTGCTTAAAATCCTCCAATGGCTTTCCATTACAGATAGAAAGAAACCCAAACAGTTTACCATCACTTACAGGGACTTACTACGTGAATTCAATGCCTGTCTGTCAATTTGTCATACTGTGGTGGCTTGGGTGTTGTTGTGATGCTGGAAGGTATGCCACTAGTATTTCAGATACCAGCAGGATCACCCATGGTAGGCAGGCTTCAGTAGAGCTTCCAGACTAAGACTAGGAAGAAAGGCCTGATAATCCACTCCTAAAAATTAGCCAGCGAAAAACTTATGAATCACAACAGAACTCTGTCTGACACATATGTCATCAGGAGAGATCAACTGCTAGAGGAGGACACCGTGTTTGGTGAAGTAGAAGGCCAGTGAAGATGAGGGAGACCCTCAGTGAGATAAACTGGCACAATAGCTGCAATGATGGACTCCAACACGTTGGTGATTGTGAGGATGACACAAGACCAGGCAATGTTTCGTTCTGTTGTATATAAGGTCACTATGAGTCGAAGTTGACTTGATGACAGCTTAACACCAACTATTTGAATGGAAAGAACCAGGCAATGTTTGGTCCTATTGTACTCGGGGTCACCATGAGTTGGAGCTAACAACAAACAAAAACACTAAGTGAAAACCTTCAAAGTCAACAGTTCTGTGCTCATTGCTATTTACTCTCTCATCTCATCACTTAAATTCTATCCACACTGGCCTTATCTCTGTCCCTCAAGAAGGCTGTGACCTATCCTTCCTCAGCGCCATTGCTGTTGCTGTTTCCTCTGTCCAGAGTTTTATCCTGTCAGTCTTTGCTTGCTAGTTCCTTCTCATCTTCTAGACCTCAGCCACAATGTCTTTTCCTTAGATAGACCTTCCCTGACCTCCTATCTAAAATTGTTCCCAACTCTCATTATTTTTGATAACATCATAGGACTAATCACTATCCAAAATGATCAGATTTATTTGTTTACCTGGTTTTTAAAAATATCTTTCTCACTCACTGTGGTGGTAATATAAGCTCCATGAGAGCAGTGATGGTGTCTCCTTTGTTCATCATCAGATCCCATCCCAAGTATCTACAGCAGTACTTGGGAAAAAGCAGGTGTCCATAAATATTTATTGAGTGGAGAAATAAATGCTTCTATGATTTCAACACCTCACTGAGTTATAATATATAGTTATAAGCCTGTCTCTTTCTTTAAAATATGAGCATCTTACAGTGTATTATCTAATAAACAACAAAAGCACAAACAGCAAAAGACAAAAATAAATAAATGGGACCACATACAAATTTAAAAATTTTATGTTCATCAAAAAGTGAAAACACAAGCTACTGCCTGGGAGAATATCTTCAAAAAAATATATCTGACAAGAACCTAATAACCAAAATATATAAAAAGAACTTTTTGACAACAACAGAAAGACAGATAACCCAATCATAAAATGAGTAAAGGACTGGAATAAACATTTCACCAAAGAGGACATTCAAATGGCCACCAAACACATGAAAAGATGCTCAGCGTCATTAGTCATTAGAGAGATGCAAATCAAAACCACAATGAGATATCATTTCACTCCCACTAAGATGGCTAAGATAAACGAACAAATCCAGAAAACAACAAAACAACAAATGTTGGTGAGGCTGTGGGAAAATTGGAATGCTTATACATTGCTGGTGGGAACACAAAATAGTACAGCCATTGTGGAAAACAGTGTGACTGTTCCTCAAAAAACTAGAAATAGAACTTCCATGTAACCAGCAATTCCACTCCTAGACATATACCCAAATGACTTCAAAGGAGAGAATCAAACAGACACTTGTACACCAATGTTCACTGCTGCACTATTCACAATAGCCAAGATGTGGAAACAACCTAAACGTCCATCAATTGATGAATGGGTAAACAAAATGTGGTACATACATACAGTGGAATACTACTCAGCCAGTAGGAGAAATGAAGTCTTGATACATGCAACAATATGGATGGAGCTAGAAGACATTATGCTGAGTGAAATAAATCAATCATGAAAGGACAGATATTGTATGATCTTACTTCTATAAAGAGACAGAAAAGACAAATATACAGAGAACAAAGTTTATTAGTGGTTCCGGGGAGGGGGAGGAGAAAGGGGGGGTTAATGGTCATGGAAATATATGGTGATGGAAATATTGTGTTAAGAATAGGGTTGCACAGCCGATTATTGTAATTGCTGTCAGTAAGTTGTACATCTATAAAGAGTTGAATTTGCAAAAGTTGTGTGATAGATATATTTACAACAACTACAAAAAAAAAAAAAAAAAAAGAAAACTGTTGAGGCCGATTATGTACAACCAAATACCTTATGGGATTTGGTTCCTTGGTCTGGAGGTTTAGGGTCATGGTTTCATGCGACATCCTAGTTAATTAGACTAATAACATGTTTAGTGCTTCTGTTTTACATCCTAGTTCTGTTTGTAGTGTCTGGGAGCTTAAAAACTTACAAGCAGCCACCCAAGGCACAATAATTGGTCTCTATTTGCCTGGAACAAAAGAGGAAGAAGGAGAGTCAGGAATAGGGGGAGGATATGGAATGTGTGGCTAATCACCACCATGAACAAATGCCTCCTTTGCCATGAGACCAGAAGTAGAGGGTGCCCGACTACCCTTACTGAACATTTTGATCAAAGATTCCATAGAAGAATCCTGATCAAAAGGGGAAAAATGCAGACCAGAATTTGAAATTCTCATGGACTCCAGACTTCCTGGAGCAATGAAGGTTGGATGAATCCCTGAAACGACTGCCCTGTGTCTTAGTTAGTGCTGCTGTAACAGAAATAACACAGGTGGAAGGCTTTAACAGAGAGAAATTTATTCTCTCACAGTCTAGTAGGCTACAAGTCCAAATTCAGGGTGCCAGCTCCAGGGGAAGTCTTTCTTCCTCTGTTGGCTCTGGAGGAAGGTCCTTGTCATCACTTTCCATGGACTAGGGGCTTCTCTGCTCAGGAACCCTGGGTCCAAAGGATGCACTCTGCTCCCAGCACTGCTTTCTTGTTGGTATGAGGCCTCCCATCTCTCTTTTTGCTTCCTTTCCCTTTTTTCTCTTGTAAGATAAAGGGTAGTGCAAGCCACACCCCAGGGAAACTCCCTTTACATTGGATCAAGGATGTGACCTGAGCAAGGGTGTTACATCCTACCCTGATGCTCTTTAACATAATCTAGTCTTGCCTCATTAACTACAGGCAGAGATCAGGATTTCCAACACATAAAATTATATCAATCACAAAATGGAGGACAACCACACAATACTGGGAATCATGGCCCAGCCAAATTGATACACATATTTTTGGGGGACACAGTTCTATCCATGACACCCTGAGATAATCTTTAAATCTTAAACCAAATATATCTCCTGAAGTCTTCTTAAAACCAAACAATAGTTTAACTAGTTAAAAAAATGTCTTCCTTGAGCATTACGCTCTTTTAAGAATTATCTATATGGGATCAAAATAGCAACAGCAACTCTAAAGATTAGGTAGGAACCTTAGAGAGCAGTGAATTTATGTTAATGAGGGAAGAATAACTCAGAAAAAGGAGGGTGAGAATGGTTACACAACTCGAAGAAAGTAATCAGTGTCGCTAAATGGTACATACAGAAGCTGTTGCATTGGTGTCTTAGTCATCTAGTGCTGCTACAACAGAAATACCACAAGTGGATGGCTTTATCAAAGAGAAATTTATTTCTTCACAGTAAAGTAGGCTAAAAGTCCAAATTCAGGGCATCAGTTACAGGGGAAGGCCTTCTGTGTCGGCCTTGTCATCAATGTTCCCCCGGAATAGGAGCTTCTCTGCGCAGGGACCCAGGTCCACAAGACACACTCTGCTCCTGGCACTGCTTTCTTGGTGGTATGAGGTCCCCCCATGCCCCGTCTCTGCTCACTTCTCTCTTTTATATCTCAAGAGATTGCCTGAGGACACAATCCAATGTTGTAGATTGAGTCCTGCCTTACTAACAAACTGCCACCCATCTTCCCTTATTATCATCATAGAGGCAGGATTTACAACATATAGGAAAATCACAAAATACCAGGAATCATGACCCAGCCAAATTGATA